CATGAATTTCAGTTTGGCATGCTGAACACACTGTTCCTGCAGCTGCTGCTACCACTGACCAGATACTCTGTAGGAGGGGAGCACTGTAAGACAGTGGTGGCAAGGAAATCCTGAGAGAGTGTGGAAGAGAATAGTGCTGCTTCAGAGCAGGAACAGCACTGACTAAAAGCTTCAGTGTAGATTTTAGAAGTGTTATGCACAAAACACCCATCTGAGTAATACGACTCACTGACTGTCATTCTGCTTTGATCACAGCCTTTTAACTGCTTCAGTATTTGGTTAATCTCAGGAAAAAGAAAAAAGTAAAATCTAATGTGCTTTATAATTTTTCTGGGTATTTTCAACCAGAAAATCAATAAAATTCTGTCATGTATTGCACTACTTAAAGTGATGAACAACCGTGCATCAAGGATTGCCCTTTATCAACAGTGTCTGCTATGTATATTTGTTTAATGAACATAGGCATAGAAAGGTGCTTATTATGGAGTATTTGTCATAATTTTGATTTATACTTATGAAAGCATATAGTTGGCACTAAGCTCCTGGAACCTTACCTTTTGCTTTTCATCTTGACACCCGACCCAAAAGAAATGAAGAAGTCCTGTTGCAGTTCTAATTTTCCTTTGGAAAACAATACAGAAACACACATCAAATAATATTATCCTAAATTGTTGAATACATAAGGAAAGGACACAAGACTTAGAGTGTCCTTCTATGGATACTGTCTTTTATTAGATTTTTATCTGATGTCAATTACTATACTCCTTTTGTGTTCCCAAACTGAATTTACTCTTCAGAAAGTTAAAATTAGGATTTTTAAATGCTCTCAGTGCAATTTAGGAGGCCCTGTGCTGCTCAGCAGCCTCTTCTCTCTTCCCTGGGCTGACCACTTTCTGAGCAAGGGAAGAGTCCTTCCAAGACCTAGTCCCAGCACACAGTGCTTCAGGTAGTAAAAGACAGTAAAATGAGAACAGTGTTCTAGTTTCTCATTGTATCATCTGTGTACTATGTGTACCAAACAAACATGTACCAGCATGTTTGTGTGATTAATAGTTTTTTTTTTTCTTTTTTCTTTTTTTTTTTTTTCCTGTTCAGGAAGAAGTAGGTGCAAACCTAAACAAAGCAATGGGAGACAGGATACTCACAATGAAGTGACTCATTTCTATTTGGCCAGTGGACTGAGATGAAAAACAAAAGATTTCTGAAGCCTTATGACACGCACAACCACTATCCTCCTTCTCTAAAGGCACTTCCAGGAACAGTAACGCATGAGAAAACCTCTAAAACTGTTTAACAGCATCTTTCACATGATCAACTCAAAGTGCACTCAGGGCTGAATATTGTTCTGATAAGCAAACCATTCTAATGCAGAGGATTTCAGAGTTGTGCTGGAAGATAAATGGATGGGCAGGGGTAGTTTCAGGACACTCACCCATTTTGCAAGGTCACGAAGTCCCAGAGATGTAATGGTTCAGCCATGCTCATAGGAACATAGATGCTCCAACAGCATGAAAGAGAGAAAATGAGGAAAGTGACTGGTTCAAACTGGAAGTTTTGTAGCAACAGTATTTGAAATGCAGGATAATGGAACAGGCTATAGGGCCAGGGAAATGGGAAATACTCAGAATAAAGGAAACTGATGACACGTGAGAGAAATAAATTCTTTATAGCAATCTGGGATCAAATGAGCGCTCTTCAGCTTTGAGTGGGCTGTTATAAATGTATTGGGCTTTGTTCTGGTGCTCAAGAAGGACTTCAATCACATATTTGCAAAGAAGTATAAATATCTTTAAATAGATATGTAGTCTATTGAGGCTTTAATTTTGTCATTTCCTCTGAGAACAAAAATTATACTTTATTTGCTTTTGATTCTAAAGGATTCTTCAAGAACATAGGATAAGTCCTATGAAGAGCTGCCTTTGTCCATTCAGATTTGGACTCTTTGGGATCTCTATGGTAATAAACAGCTGTCATTACTGGACATGATCCCAAGGTGTGCATTGTAACTACATCCTCAGGCAGCTCAGTAGGGGGAGACCTAAGCAGTGTTTCTCACCGGAGCCTCACTCACCATGAACAGAAATCCCTTAGCTTGAGAGTCAAAAAGTACCATTAAGTGGTTCAAACAGGTCTCAAATCCAGATGATGGGGATTCAGATCATGTGAAATTTTGCAGTCTATACTTGCCAAGTACATACAAGCTGTAAGTGTGTTTTCAGATCTCATGTGGTAAAAATTCCAGAATGAGACAAAAAAGTTCTGCTCAGGGCTTAACATCTAGAAGAAGATATTTCACTTCAAAAAATAGATTTTTGAAAAGAAATAGGATCTTATGAAACTCATTATTGATTGTTCTGACAGAGAACAAAATCTGAAAAATAATTTCCTACATCTCCCTTGCTCTCTTTCAAAAGGGCTTGGGATATCCTGTATCCATTTTCTGGGCTGCATCAGGAAACCAGCCAGGCCTAACCTAACTTGTGTTTTCTACTTTCAAACCTGGTAAAAGTGATACCCCTTTTCTCAAGTTTGTTGAATGACACAGGAACTGGTTGCAGGCACACAAAGAACATTTTGGCTCATGGGATTATTTCTAACCTAAATGTGACTCTTGGTTGATGTAGAAGAAAGAGAACTTTTATTGGCCCAAAACGAAGCCTCCAAAAAGCTGCTGGTCTGCAACCAAAGAGGAGGATGACAGGCTGAGGAGAACACTAGGCTTGTAATTCTTTTATTTCTCATTTGTGCTGTTTACAATTCTGAGAGTTCCTTGTCTTGTTGACAAGTCTCTTACCAAGCTCACCCATGAAACAGCCTATTTAGTTTGCTTTTGTTGAAGCTCTTTTTGCCTATAATAGCACCATTTAGGGGGATGTTAGCTCACAAAGGTAGATGTTGTCTCCTTAGAAACCTTCATGTTAAGTACCTGTCTTACACAGGTACAATGACAAGAATAAAAACAGCACAGAAAGGAGTTATCCTCCCCCAAATATAAAAGAAATCCTGTAAGTGGGAAACCTCAGAGTGATGTGATGTAATGTGTGTAGCCCATACAAATATGATTAATACATAACAAGGGCAGGGCCTTGTAAGTAGTCAAGTGTAAGGTTGACTACTATGCCTGAGTAACATGCACTCTCCAACAGAAAACAGGATAGCTAGATACAACTGGGGATCTCAGCAAATGAATCAAAATCCATGAAGGCTTTAGAGCCATCGCACTAAAGCCGTGAGATGGCTCACAGGACCCCAGATAGCTCAGGTATTTCATTCTGTTGTTCAGACTCTTAAAGAAATGTTTAAAACAATTACTATGGTTGGCTAAAATTGTAATTTTTTAAATAAAAATTTCTTTCTTTTCAGTGAAAATCAAGATGATGCCTTTTTAATGTCTGTTTTAACATATGAATACATGGCTAAAACAGATATTTTTAATTTATATTTTTTAAAACTAGTTTATTTTTAATCTTAAACTGTGGTAAAATTTGTTATAAAAATACAAACTCCACAACTGCTCCAAGAAGTAATTCTAACAGCAAATAAAAGATTTACTTAAACCTTATTTGAATGTATCTATCATTCTCTATCTTGATGATCTGAGAAAAGAGATATAGTATTCTTGTTACATATTAAGGTGCTGAAGGCAGAGGCATTGTCTTTGCTTCCAAAGTGCCCAGCATATTTTAATAAGATGGTGTAACATAGCCATGTGGGCAGGCATACTTTTTTTTCAACTGAAAATCTCATCTGTTTCCATTTAAAAAATATGAAAAATGTCTACCAGAGTTCCTCAATAATTAAGCAGTAACTGTACATTGCACATTTTCATAAACGAAAATATGTATTTTTCCACATTAGAGCTGATTTGATGTAACATCTGTGGAAAGCAAAATACACTTCTTTTGTAGTTTTAAGGATCTCCTGGTCTTTTTAGATTTAAAGTTGTTATGAAACGCACGTAACAGGTACAACCTTGCAGAATTCTGATAATGGCATTATGAAGTTCTTTAACTTGAACTATTCACATATTCCAAGGCAGCAATTCAAAAAGACGATCACTTAATTTCTGCTTAAAATTATGAACTTAGAAGTACATTTGAAGTGCAGCCCTCATCTTTTTCAGTGGATTTGTAAGCTTAACAGTACTCCTTAAAGCCACTGGTGATTAGTAGCTTGTAAAGTATTTTTCACTGCTTTTTTTTGCTTAGCTGTCTGAAGACAGAAGCTGAAATATTGGTGCAGGTTGTAGAAACTTATAAATTAAATGTGGAATGTCTCATGAGATAATTAGCATGGCATTCTCATGGAACATGTATTATCGACTGTCCAGATCTCTTCATAGTGGAGAGGTGTAGAAAATTCAACTTCTCAGTAAAAGCCTATACAGCTCATTGATATAAACCAGGACAAATACTATCCTGTCTCTGAGAAAAGCTGTATCCTGTATAATACTGAATATTCTACTAAAATTTCTAGATCAGGACAGATTTGAACAGTAGCTCTGCTACCTTCCTTCATCTAGTGGAACCCAGAGAAACGGGAGAAGAAACAGGATCATCAGGGATAGAGAAACAGAAGGACGAACATTTTGCACAACATGCTGCCTTAAAGTAACAGACCATGACCACAGGACCTCACCATGCCAGTGCTACTATTTGGAAAGAAGTTTTTCTGACCTGATTCAAATGATGGTTTATGGTGTTAGGCACAGATATCCAAGTCTGCATTACTGAGACGGTAACACTGCCATTGCATACGATAGGGTCCTTCTAAGTAAGAAGCCAATTTCAGTTTAAAAAAAAAAAGTAATTGAATAAATATTTCTTTAATTAATTCATTATCTTCTCTTTATAATCATGTGGAACTATTTGGTGGTTTTGGAAAGGTTGTGCCTTGATTCAGCATTATCAAACTGTTCCACTGATATTTGTGGTGACGATGATTCAGTTTCATACTGGTTTTTTAAATTTTGATATATAACATGTTGCAGATTAGTGAAATAAGACTTCCAAGTAAATACAGACGTTTCAGTTGGAGGTTGGGGGGAGGAAGACATTTGGTAAATCTTGCTTCCGAGTCATGAACAACCTAAGTTGTTTCTGCATTGCCTAGTTACCATTTCTGTTTAGTTGGCAATGGTGTTCACTGAAAATATTTTAGTTTCTGCTCCTGACAGCTACAAATGTGCGATCATGTGTAATCTTATAAACTCATATACTGTTAAGTGGATGCCCAATACACCTCCTCAAATGTGAGCAGTGGATAGCATTGCCAAGTTACAAAGTCAATACTGAATAGCACAGTCATGCTAAGCTAATTTACAAAAAGTTTTCACTGGCTGGTCCATTTCTTCAGCTGTTAATAGTCTAGCCTGACATATGTAGAACAAAGTTCAAGAGCAAACATGAACAATTTGCTAGACTAGTTGGCAGAAGCCAGACTGAACCAATGGCCTCAGGAGACTGATGCTGACTTTATGCCAATTTCAAATCTCTGCTCACTCTCCCAGTTTACCAAAAAAGCTACTTTTCCTTTCAGCCACACTGCTAAGGGCAACATGCAGAAGCCTGGTATCTGACTAATGCTCACCAAGTGTTACAAGGCTGGAGTGGAGGGAAATATGCAACCTTGTGACCCTGACTCAGAATAGCCAAACTCCATCTGCTCTGAAACTTTAAATGGTAAGAACGCCTCCATTTCTTACTGGACATATTTGGAGGTAAGGACTGGCCATGACTGCTGCTGTGTTCATTTTAAGCCGCCAAATTTTCATGCAAAAAATTGGAAAAAAAAATTAAATTCTTAACTTTTCTGGGAAAAGTTAATCTTAAGAGTTAAAGACAACCCTCAGAGTTGAAGCTTAAATGCAGTTAGGAGACAAAAGGTAACAAAAGACTTGGTTATATTGTGACATGATGCAACTTCACAGTTCAGATAGCTGCAAGAACATAAACTGTAAAAGGAGCAAATGGATCTATTTACAACATACAGGCAAAAATGTATAAACATGAGTGACGTAATGACATATCACACATGCATATTAGGACTAAAATATCTTTGGAATTTGAAAAGTTCGCAGGAAGCATTTCACAACTCAAGGAACTGCATCCAGTACAGTGAAATCCTGTGACATACTATTTCAAAAAGTTAAACCAGACAGACAGTGTCTAAAATTAGTTGTAGCTTATCTTAAAAGGATCATATGATCACATTTTTTATCTGCAAATAGTGAGAACTACTTAAATATATACAGTTGGTGAACTTGTGTCTGAGACAAACATATACAAATTATAACAACATTCTCTAACTTTCTTGGAGCATGAATCATCTTTCATAAAGCTTTCCATGGTAAAATTGTGTTCTTTTTAGTCATGATAAATTCAATATTTTTCCTTTTTATTTTTTTACACAGGACTTTATCCAGAAAAAGCTCAGAAAGTGGAAGTACAGAATCTTACAAAACCAGAGAAGAATGAACAGGTACTATAGCTTACAAAATATTGAGCATATTAATCACGGCCTGATAGAATCTTTCACAGCAAAATATGTTATGATCCATATGCTGGTATTTGTTGCAAGGAATCCTTATAACAAATATATTAAAAAACATCAATGAAAAATACCACCAATTCCTCTTTAAACAAACTGATTTATTCCAAGTAATTGTCAGTACTCCTGAAGCCATGTGTTTATACCCACACTGGAGTATGCCTGAAATCTCACTGGTATTTCCCCCCCAAAATAGCAATATAATGCTTCTTTCACATCCTGAATAACTGGTTTAAAAAAGAAAAATAAGTTGCATAGGAAATACTACTAACAATTAATTATGATTCTGCAGTTTAAGATTGGTTCAATTATTTTGTCATTTCTTAGTCTGTAGTTGTCAACCTTGTGCATCTTGTTGACTTCTTTTAATCTACCACCAGGATACTCTAATCATTGCATACCCTCTTCATAGGATGAGTACCTTTGGATACTGTTAGAGATCATTATTTTTCTACAGTGAGGGATTATTTATTTATTAAATGAAATAACTTCAATTCCTACAATGCTTACAAATCACTGACAAATAGATTTACTGTCTGTAGTACCTTTCACATTTGGCCCTAATAAAGTGGACAATAATATCAGAGACTTCTTGCTGTTACTTTTTAAACCCTCACTTTTATAGTGATACAACAATAAAATCTTGAAAAGAAATGAAGAAAAAATAGGAATAACACCCCATATCACATAAAGACTTCAGAATATACACATTTGACCATCTCTATACTACTGAAATTGAAGGAATTCTCAAATTATCTAATGCTGCAAATGTGTCAATATCTTCAGAAAAGAATGCAAAATGTTAATTACTCTTTGCCAGCATTTAAAAATAATTTATATATCCTCTTCGACAACAGCTGGAATGATAAGTAAAGTAAGAGCATTTGGCTTAGAATAATCTAGGAATACACTTCCATTGCCCCATACATTGCCACAGGCATTTATTTCCTCACATTTATTTCTTCAGCTATATGGTTCCAGATTTTTTTCTTGTTTCTATATTATTTGCAAAAGTGAAATCTTTTACTGAAAGACTTTTTAATCCTGCTTTTGGAGGCAGGAAAGAAGGTTGCCCTTTTTTATATACTTTTATTTTTATGACAATTTAGTCAGAACATTTCAAGTGACAACCAAAGGCCCAGTTACCTCCTGCAGGCTCTTGTCCAACAGCCTGTGAGCTGATAGCTGGATTTGCTTTCAAACAAGTCTGATTTAGATTTATCTAACTTCACTGGTCTAAGAAGATTTTCTGTTTTATCAGGAATTGAACAAGCCCAGTTTCATAAATGAATAGAGTTATTTTTAGATACTTTGTTTTGAGGAGGATTTCTGGAATTTTCAACCCAAGCTTTTCTACACATTTCTCAGTCAGATGGTCTTTTCATTTCTAGTTTGATAAATACCTGTGCAGTTCACTTATAAATATCTAGTCCTCTGTCTACTGTCTGGAAAGTTAAATTTAATTATGATCAGAGAGAGGAGAATTAAAGCATGGATAATGCACACTGAGGAATGGAATTCACTTTGCAAATTATTTTTATGGCAATGTTGGAGAAGGCAGCAGGTATTCACTTTGCACTGATAGAAGCAGAGAACAGCTCTGTTTCTTGCAGTGGAATATTAAACATCAAAAACATAGTGAATAATAATAATGATCTTTCCACAAATGGTGACGTTGCTGAAATGGTCACTTGGTCACACATCCAAATTAATTCACATCTCCTCTTTTATTTAATTTATGAGAAATCTAAAAAGCTGTTGTTAAGATTACATATACAAATCCTACTTTTTGCACCCTGAGGAGATCAGTGATTTTAGTTAAAACTAGAATTAGGAAAACAAAAATGCCAAGACCATAAGGCAGTAGTCTAAATTAAGGCACAGTAACAATTTAAAGGAAGCAGAAGGAAAGTATTATCAGAAGAGATAGAAATCTCATAAGCTTCTTGCACTACAAATGCTGACATGTGAACTACAAACCCATTACTTTTAAATTGCTTTTGTATAGTGTCTCATATTTGAGGTGCCTACTATGGCATAAATATTCTTCCACCAGAAAATGAGCATAATCTTCATAAACTGTGCTTTTGAAATAGTTGAACATGTAAAGTATATTAGAGCATATTATTAATTAATCTGATTTCATGTCCTAGCAGTTGCAAGTACAAAACCATCACACAACAGTGTGATTTATACCAAGCACATTAATACTCTTGGAATGCTTATTAATAGTAACAAAATTCTGACAATTTTTGTACATACAAAGCAAATGTTTGTATATCTTGTACCCAGAAGCCTTTAAGGTGACAGACTGAAGATTTTATTCACTTCCTCCAAAACCCCATGCGGGATAGTGATTAGTAATGTTGTCTCTAAGTTTATGGTTGACAGGATCAACAGGGACATTTCTGCATAACTTTAATGGGTGTAACATCTATATTCCACTCCTACTTCAATCTCACTCAACTTAATGGCAAAAGTTCTGTGTCCCTTAGGGTTTTCCTTGGGCTCTTTGAACCATATGGAAGCAGAGCTGCTAGCTTGTTATGGATCCCCTGTCAGACTTCTGCTGCACACTTGCTTCCTAGAAAAATCTGTATAAAACAGAAGCTTTCAAGGTTTTCTCATTCCAGTGCCCCATCTATCTGTTAGCTTTAAATATCTTATGGATAAACTTACATGGTCAAAATAAGAGACTGGGCACCTTTGTCATCTGGGAATAAGCAATGGGCTTGTAACAGAAGCAGCTCAAGGAAGGAAGACTGCCTGTTGGAGTGCTCTGTAATTCTGAGACTATTGCATTGGTAAAGCACATACTCAGTAGTAGTGGATGCTTCTTACTAAATATCGCTGCTAAATATAGCTGTATTAAGTCTTCTAGACTCACCAGCGAGGAAATGTAAGAGCCTTACCTTATAAGTAATTAAAGTTACTACTCTAAAGCCACCACTCCACTATTGTCTAAGTCTGGAATTTATATGCTCAAGACCTTAATACTAAAACTCAAGTCCCCAAAACAAATGTGTATCATAAACATCAGCATAGGTGCACTTCATCACTGGGGATAATACTGTGACACCACATATGGCCTTTGTAAAGAACAATACCAATAAGCTAATGTCTGAAAATGATTTGGAAGGAAGTGAGTGTAGCACTGCAGCATTTTTATATTAGTTTGGTCTTGCACAATGCTGTCCCTCCTTTCCTTCCTGCCCAATACTATTTTAGCAATATTCAAGGTTTTTAAAAGAGGCCAGAAAACAAGAGCCAGGACTTGATTTTCATACTAGTCACAAATGGCAGCTGTAGGGCAAACACAAAATGTTGCAATTACAATCAGTGCCTTTTTTCCTATTGAAAAGATTCTTTCCGTATTCACATAGAGTAAACTCAAAGGAAAAGCACAAAAAAGGCATTTTCTCTTCATAGTATTTCTTTGGCATGGATAAGAATTATATAAAGTACAGCAGATGTGCCTATGCTGTATAATGGAAATGGAGTATTTTATAATATCTGTTTAAATTTTTTTTATTTCAATACATATATTGCTGTAACTGGACAGTGGCATGCTATCCTCATAATTTTCTTGCCCAGAACTATGTTAGTTTCAAATATCTAAATGTTTTACAAGTTTATAATAAGATGACATAACAGTTTTTGGCTTAGTGAAGGCAAAACAAAAAATTCCTTAAAGAATTAAATTTGTACAATTTGCACATTTCCCTGGTTTATCTGTTAGCAAATATTAACTGAAGCATTTTTGGTGGATTTGTGTACTATCCTCTGATAGAAGTATTCTGTAACATCATCTCTTCCAGCGAGAAGAAAGCTTAGTCCCTCTGCCAAAGTGAAATGAGATTGGTTAGTCACAGTCAATGTGTGCTTATGCAGTCTACACCACTCAAAACCTCAAAACCTTAACTGAAAACCTAAAATTTTCTATGCAAGTAAACCTGAAAAGGATCAACAATATAAGTGAATCAGTGCTTTGCTTTCTTTTGAGTTTTCCTGGAATAATTCAGAAAGACCTGTAGTATCTTTATCAGCGATCCACATTGATTTCACCCCAGGAAACTTACTAGGTTGTGTAAAAGGTGTAAACATAGCAAAACTCTTCAAACATTTTAAATGCATTGTTTAAAAACGTTTTTGGCAAAGGTGTGCTTACAAGTGCAGCTATTTTGAGGGACTAAACTACTAAGGAGAGCAAACATAGGTACTTCTAATAGAACTCCTCTTTCCAGAGGTCTGCTAAGGAGGAAAAGGAGAAGAATTGGGTGCATGTGCTTCTAAAAAATATCTAGGAGTGACCACATTTTCTGATGAGTACATGGCTCATAGGCTGGCCAATTTTAGCCCTTGTGATGGGGCTCTATCACACAATCATCCCTGGGGATTGTGGCAACGTGAAGGCTGTTGGATATTCTGAATATCCAGTGAGGGCTGTAAGCATGCCAGGAAGGTCTTCTGAGGCAATATTGCTGGGCTGTGCTGAGAACTAGCTCATCCCCATCCCACAGGAAAGTAAAATGATCACAGGGAATCCTGGAGTGAACTGTCCCCAGAGATCCTCTTCCATTCCAGCCCTCTGAAGCACCCACTAGGTTGCTGGAGGAATTATTCATATGCAGTAGGGAAAGCTGGCCAGTATTTTTGTCATATATGATGTGTATCTGAACAATATTAGAAGTGTGAAGTCTAAAAACTAGTAAAACCCAGTAGATTGGACTTAGAGGCTAGAGCTAAAGATGAAGGCAGCCTCCTCTCAAACATGTCCAGACACAGAACAAGAGACAACAGGCACAAACTGAAAATGCAGGGAATTCCACTTGAACTTGAAAAATACTCTTACTATAAAAGTGATTGAATAATGTAACAGGTTACATTGACTAGAAGTAGAACAAGAGCACAAAAATCAAAATGTCAAAAATGTTAATATGCACTTTTTGAATAAGGAAACACTACAATGAAACCCTGCCTTGTCAGAAGCAAGTTGTGGCTATTTGAGGATTATAAAAGCTTTTGGCAATTGTCACTTTTCTTTCTCTTTTCAGGAACACTTCCAAGTACGAGGTAGTTGATGAGCCATTACATCAATGAGGAGGTACTTCCTTGCTGCATTTCTTGGCTACTCCTAGAAGCCCAGCTTCTTCTGTTTAATGTCTAAAGAGGTCTTTCCCCCCTGTTACTTTCCTGGTGATAACTTCACTTTATTTATCTGCATCAAATTTTCTTAGTAAGATTCTTCTCCACAGTCCTCAAGAAATTCAGATTCTCTAAAAATTTAAAGTGTGTTGCTGTTAGGCAGCTGAACATTGCTACTCTCAGGAGGAAAGAGAGCATCTGAAATCTGGAGTCTTTCTTTCATTGGTAAAATCAGAGAACACCAAAGAAAATAGAGCATTTATGTAAAAATTTGCTGTATGTTGTCCAGTCTCTGCTTAAAGCTTTTAGATTTGTGTAACTTTTCTCTAGAACCAATATAAGTTATATGTGAAAAAAACCCCCATGCTTCAAACTAGGGAATTATTTGGCTTATGCTACTGTGGTGTCATTAACATATTTTTAATCCATACAGGTTTTCTCCTGTTGTTTTTACATGCATGAAGTAGGACCTCACAACTGCTATTCAACTATGTGGCTGCTGTATCTGGGTTTCCTGTTACACAAATCAACACACTTAGTTTGAAACCAACAAATGCCACCTGTATGTACCAACCAGGATGCAGCCCATAGTCAAGGTAGCTTCTTTTCCCACTTGCTAATTGGCTCACCCTTTTTTTCTCTGCCAGAATACATTATTAGAGATGCCTGTGCTTTATTCAGGTCGTTCTTGGTGTGAATTAACTGCAAGTATAAGCCTGCAAGCAAATTCATTGTAGGTGTATTTTAATGGCTGTGAAAAGAAAACTGTAAGCATTACATATAACCTGAGGTGTACTGTGTAATTTGTACCATATAAATAAATTATTAAAATTGTCTTTCTTTTTTCATTTGCAGAATTTCATAATTTGATTTTTATGGGCATGTGTTGGTGCCCCCATCAGGCTCTTAGAAAAATTAAATCTGTAATCCTGTGAACCAAGTGTTGCAGAAAGAATTAACTCATTTACTGTATTGTGATGAATAGAATAGCTGCATTGAATGTATATGAAGCTGCACAATTAATTACTACATAAATGTCTTGTCAAGTGAAATGTGTGTCATGTATGATCTTTACCTCTAGCAGACCACATTGTATTGTCCAAGTAAATATAAAGCTCTGAATGCTTTCATTATAGTACTTCTGTAATGCCAGCTACAGTCCTGTTCTTAGAGTAGTGAAGAACACTTATATAAAAAGGAAATCTCAAACTTATTAAATGTCCTGGAATTTCATTGCATGTATTTCTGAAATTATCACTTGCACTAGAATAATTTTTGAATTTTATCTGAATTACAAGCATAGTAGTGTATCTTCTTTACTGAAAGAATTTACAGAAAATAACTATTTAGTTTCTTTAATAACTGCAGATCATGAGTCATTATTTCATATAAAGTCTAATTAAATTACATGTCCCAATTATATAGGACTAATTCACAGAGCTTTTTAGGAGTGCTTAATTTGTGATATGAATAATGTTTTACAGCTCTCAATTTTGCAAACAAGGAATCAGTGTGACAGCTAAGGCATTGGAAGCTAGAGAAGGAAGGCTATTGAAAACACCTTTCATGTGTTTTCACCTTTCATGACAAGAATTTTATTTGCCTGGAATCAAAGTACCATGTTCCTTTTGCCCTTGAAAGCCTCAGATTATAAGGGGAGGTGTGGTAATCACATAAATAAAAGTGTCTACTACTGAAAGGTTGTTTCATAAATTGCCACAAAGGAGTTCTGAGAGAGTGCAGTCAAATGATTTTATGCCCCATATCTCATGAATAATACACATGCACAAATAAATAGAAGAATCTCAGCATTGTATCAGAGTCTTGACATTGCATCAGAATTTTGTTTTTTAAGTGTCTATGCATCAATACAAAAACAAATTGAGAAAAAAAAATAGCTACATTTGACTTCTGGAACTGATTGCTAGGAGCAATGGGGAACACACCAGGAAGAGTAAATTTCCCATAGTGATCAAGCAATGTTGAAATTAGATTTGGGTTTGAAACTAATTTGAATTTAGTCTGACAAGATCAATGTAATGAAAATAAGGGTCCTAAGGAAGGCTACCTTATACACATCACTAATTTTCTTGCTGAGGTATCATCTGTGAGGACATAGAAACCATAAGGTTATTTAATTGAGTACTTTGCTCCTAGAAATTCACAGGCTTTCCCTCAGACTTCACACAGCAAAATGATGCAAACTAGGTATTTTATAATAATAAATAATAATCTAATGGTTTCAATAGCATCTGTAGCAAATTTAGGGGCAGATCATGAACTGCTGTACTTCCTGTCCAATTTAGCTATCTGTACCTAGCAGAGAGAGCTGACACCAAGTTCTGAAGATAAAACTTGGCCTGAACAGTTAAAATATGCTCATCTGGCTCTGTAGGTAAGCAAAACCATATTTTCTTTCAGCCTTTGATGAAACTCTATGAAATACAGCAAAGCTTGCAGGAAGGATAAATGTATAAGAAACTAGACATATAGACAAGAAAAACTTTCATATGCTTTTGTACTTTTGGTTAAAGAATGACTGAATAATTACAATCTAATAATTAATTCCATTAGCCATGATAAGTATCTTCCAGAGAAAGTGAGACATTTGAGCTGTCAATACAGTGTGGACAAGGCATAGTGGAGTTTCCAGGTGCATGCTTTGTGTTCTAAATGAACACTTGTAGGGTCAGGCTCAGCTGAGGCAGCACAGCTGCTTTCAGGCAGTGAGGAGCTGAAATAACCTGTCAGGCTCTTGTGGGTGTGTGGAGAGCCAGCCTAGCACTTCATGAATCCTATTCCTATGACTGGGCACAAAGCCAGACCCTTTTCATCACGTCTGTGATTCAGCCCCTGCTGATCAGTTTGATTTGGGTCTGTTAAGAAGCACTGATGTGTCTGCCCTGTACTCCCAGAGCAAGGAGCAGGCGGAGTGGGTCTAGTGTGGCCCCAAGTTCTACTGTCTCCCAAATATTGTACTGAAAAGGGTCACAATGCAGTCTGAGTCCCAGCCTGCCTTGTATCTTAGGCAACTGCAAAGTACTTCCCTGGTATTTATCATCTTGAAATTCCTTATGTTGTCCTGGGTTCTGCATACAAAATTTTGTTTTAACACAATATGCTGATGTGTCCATAAATCTAAGCAATGATACATTAACATTTATTAAATGCATTAAAGCATTGCATCTTCAAAGAACTCTTGTGAATAAGTTAGAACTCATATATTTATTTCAATAGACTTTCCTGTGAACTAACTGGAGAGTTATCCTGAGTAAGTGAGGAGAAAAGGAACAAGAAAAAGACAGAACACAGAATGATGCAGAAAGGAAAGGAAGTCCTTACTTGTGAAGCTCTTTGGCTAGGTCATTGTATGCTGGGTTTTTTGATTACCACTAAAGAGGAGAATTATTATGTTGCTTTACAGCTCTACAGGACAGGTTTTAAGTATGTGTATCACCACATCTTTTGCAGCCCTTACAGCATACAAATCCCAAAAGAACTCACATGCAGGTTTCTGTGTGTTTATTCCACTACAGGCTGACCACTCCTTTGAAGTCCATAGGTGTTGTGTGTGTACAACGGAACCCATTTTGGTGCCTACAACCCTAACCACACTGAATGTGGCACTGCTGTATTCTAAACAAGGATCACAGTCCTGTCAGTCTCCATCTTTCTCCCAAGACTTCTGTGTGATACATGAATTTGAACTATTGCTTGAGGTAGAATTTATGTGCTCATTCTGGACTTATACTATTTAAATTTTCTTCCATATAATAATACAAAACATGCTTAAAATCAGCTTCAGTGAAATTATTTCTGCAGTTACTTGAAACTCCTTTAAGTTTTTGGTATAATTAGTCTACAAAGAGTTTTCCACGGTAGCTCTCCTTTGTACTCCATTACCATGTAACCTTAATAAACCTAATAAGTAATTTTTTTTTCAAGCTCTAACAACTATGATTTAGCCTTTGATTAATATTTTTCACATCACATTTCTAATTGAAGAGAATTTATCTTTTTCTGAAAAACTTTAGTAAGATCTCATTGGCTGTATTTGAGTAAAAGTGCAGGAACGAGTATTTGTACCGGCCAAAAAAAGCAAAGAAATAGTCAAAGTACTAAATTCAACATGATTTGCCTTATGTCCCATAATGCAAACAACAGTTTGGACCCTACACATTTGAACACTTATTCTTACAGGCAGGGGATAACTTGAAGGCTGGCTAATTTCTTGTTTTCTGTGGTTTAAGGGCTTCTTAAGAGCATGGCCCTGTAACTCCTTCCTAAACTGTGGAAAGTTAAAAGGCCAGCTGATCTTTCACATACCTCAGCAATACCTGGCAATTCTCCATTTCTCAGCAGCAATCTCCTTTGAAAGCAGCTCCCATTTTAATTTATTAGCTGCATAGGCACATCTCAGATTCTAAAAAATCCCATTAGCCTTCTGTTCAATAAGGGGAAATTAAATCTCAAATATCTATTTTAATAATTTTTTTTTCATACGAGTGTATAGCTTAGAAATGTAATGAGGAATGGGCACTGTGAGGCAGCAGGAGGAGGTACAGGGTGTGTAATGAAGCGTGCTTTAGCATGTTCTTTCTAGTATATGTTCTCACAAGCAAGTGGGCACTTGACCCCATTAACATAAGGCCAGTACTCTAAAATTATGTTTCCTAGGCTTGTTATGGTCTAATTTCTTAAGAGTCACAGGATAATCTGTATTCTATTTGACTTGTTACATGACATACATAATGCTCATTTGGTACTTTTCACCTCAAGAGAACATGAAGTGTCCTGGGGTCAGGGATTTCTGATGTCAATAGTCAGGAGCTCGTGACATTTCTGTGCAGTTTGGAGACTCTTTGGTTGACACAGGCTGATTTGATTTCTGAACTACTCAAGTATTTATTCCTTGCTATCTAAGTTTCTCTGAGAAGTTTCACTGGTGTCTTTATTAGAAAGATACATGATTACCCATAATACAAATACCAGAGTTAACTGTCTTGCTCTAATTGCTCTCTAACTGGGACACATCCAAATGAAGTATGGATGCAGGCAAGGTTCCTGGCTCACTCTGGGCATGTCTAACTGACACAATCCACGATGTGTTAAAGTCTCTTTTAATGGTCACTCCACAAAAAGGTATCCATCTTTGAGTGGAGTCTGCCCACAGCCAAGCACGTGAGCAATACCCCCTTTTTGTCGACGCGTCCCGCATTCCTTGGGACCCGAAGCGCTGCTAACCAGAGAGGGCCGTCCCAGGGCAGGGCCGCGGCCCGGTGAGGCGCAGGCTCGGGGCACCGAACCGGGCTGCGCCAAGCGGCACCGCCGCCGGCACCGCCCGGCCCGCCCCGGCCCGCTCCGGCCGCTGCCGCAGGCCGCGCCGCTCGGCTGCCCTCTGGCGGCCGGGCCGGGGCGCGGCTCTAATGAGTGCTTTCTCATGAAGTACAGAATTAGGGAGTTTCATTGATTCATCCGGCATGTACATACTGTGTTATAAATCATTCATTTGACTGAGAATTTAGAGCTCCTTACCTTTCAAGCTCTGGTTCCACTGGCTCTCAAATACTTGCATATTGACAAATGAATAGCATTGATTTTCCTTGAGTAGATTGATTGCTTAGATGCAAAAAATTCTCTTTTTTCCCCCCCATGGACGATAGCAAAGGAAGAGCTGCAGCTTTGATCTCACTGACTGGAAGCCTCTTCTATTCCTCTGGCATACAGTTTAATTTTTTTTTTTTTTTTTTGAGGCAAAATGAAAGAATTGCCTTTTGTGGCATTCTCCTCTGCTATGCCAATTTCTTAGCTGTACCCATTTAGCAAAAGAGATCTTTAGATACATTTTCTTAGATTTTTCATCATACTGTTCAGTATCCTGATGTTAAAAGTAATTTCTTTTAAAATGCTAAAGAAGCTGTGGCAGCAAGGCAACCAACTAAAAGGCAGATGTTATATGAAGTAGCACATGTATTTTAAAAAATCACTTGGTACATCCAAAGAAATTACAACAGAGGGTAGAGAACACAGCCCATGGAGAAGTCTGAAAGGC